TGTTCCCAAGTCCCCTTCCCTTGTCCTAATTTACCCCATGTGTGCTCATCACATCTTTTTAAATCAGAGCCAAACGCTTTAGTCTGATAAGGAGAACCCAGGAGGTATGGAGCTCTCTGTCTCTCTCTCTGTTTGTTCTCTTTTTCAAACACAGGGGAAAATACAGCTGATGGAGGCATTACAAAGTCTATACCAGTAGCAGGAGCAGGATTCTTGCTCAACAACTACAGTACTGGCCTGGTCTCCTTTTTTCCCCGCAGCAGCGCTTCTTAAAGGTCCAATGCAGCCATTTTTATCTCAGTATCAAATCATTTCTGGGTAACAACTAAGTACCTTACTGTGATTGTTTTCAATTAATATAGTCAAAACTTAAACAAATCACTTCTTAGCAAAGAGCAATTTCTCAAGGAAGAATTTGGCTAGGACTGTCTGGGAGTGGTCTGAGTGGGGAGGGGAAAACTGAAAACTAGCTGTTATTGGCATAGTAACCTAACGTAGCAGGCGTAGAAAGGGGAAACGGAAGTTAGGTTGAAAATACTGTATCCCTGAAAACCGTATGTTGGCGTTTTCTGACGACTCCGTATAGGCTATTGGCAGAGAGGTTTGGAACTCTTCTTTATTGGTCTATTAACTAATTAACTGCCTGGTGATGTCACCAGGCAGGCCAAAACTCCATCTCACCAAAATAGGCTGAAATGTCAGGGGAACTTTTCAAACAGCTCTTACACTAAAAGGGCATTATCATCATTTTCACAATTTCACAGTATTATTCCAACCACATAGTGTGTTAATACACTAAATGACCAAAAGTATGTGGACACTTGCTCGTCGAACATCTCATTCCAAAATCATGGCTATTAATATGGAGTTGGTCCCCCTTTCGGAGTTGGCCTCCACTCTTCTGGGAAGGTTTTCCACTAGATGTTGGAACATTGCTGCGGGGACTTGCTTCCATTCAGCCACAAGAGCATTAGTGAGGTCAGGCACTGATATTGGGGGATTAGGCGGCGTTCCGATGGGGTCAGGGCTCTGTGCAGGCAGGCCAGTCAAGTTCTTCCACACCAATCTCGACAAACCATTTCTGTATGGACCTCGCTTTGTGCACGGGGGCATTGTCAAGCTGAAACAGGAAAGGGCCTTCCCCGAACTGTTGCCACAAAGTTGGAAGCACAGAATTGTCTATGTTATTGTATACTGTAGCGTTAAGATTTCCCTTCACTGGAACTAAGGTGCCTAGCCCGAACCATGAAAAACAGCCCCAGACCATTATTTCTCCTCCACCAAACTTTACAGTTGGCACTATGCATTGGGGCTGGTAGCGTTCTCCTGGCCTCTGCCAAACCCAGATTCGTCTGTCGGACTGCCAGATGGTGAAGCGTGATTCATCACTCCAGAGAACGCGTTTCCACTGCTCCAGAGTCCAATGGCAGCGAGCTTTACACCACTCCAGCCGATGCTTGTTATTGTGCATGTTGATCTTAGGCTTGTGTGTGGCTGCTGGTCCATGGAAACCCATTTCATGAAGCTCCCGACAAACAGTTATTGTGCTGACGTTGTTTCCAGAGGCATTTCGGAACTCGGTAGTGAGTGTTGCAACCAAGGACAGACGATTTTTAGCACTCGCCGGTCCGATTCTGTGAGCTTGTATGGCCTACCACTTCACGGCTGAGCCGTTGTTGCTCCTAGATGTTTCCACTTCACAATAATAGCACTTACAGTTGACCGGGGCAGCTCTGGAATGGCAGAAATTTGACAAACTGACTCTTTGGAAAGGTGGCATCATATGACGGTGCCACATTGAAAGTCACTGAGCTTTTCAGTAAGGCTATTCTACTGCCAATGTTTGTCTATGAAGATTGCATGGCTGTGTGCTTGATTTTGTACACCTGTCAGCAACGGGTGAGGTTGAAATAGCAGAATCTACTAATTATAAGGGGTGTCCACATACTTTTGTATATATAGTGTATATACTGAACAAAACATGCAACAATTTCAATAATTTTACTACAGTTCATATAAGGAAATCAGTCAATTTAAATAAATAAATTAGGCCCTAATCTATGGATTTCACATCACTGGGCAGGGGCGCAGCCACTTAGGAGCCAGGCCCACACACTGGGGAGTCAGGCCCAGCCAATCAGAATTGAGTTTTTCCCCACAAAAGGGCTTTATTACAGACAGAAATACTCCTCAGTTTCATCAGCTGTCTGGGTGGCTGGTCTCAGACGATCCCGCAGGTGAAGAAGCCGATGTGGAGGTCCTGAGCTGGCGTGGTTACACGTGGTCTGCGGCTGTGAGGTCGGTTGGACTTCCTGCCATATTCTCTAAAACAAAGTTGGAGGCGGCTTAACATCTGGCAACAGCTCTGGTGGACATTTCTGCAGTCAGCATGCCAATTGCACACTCCCTCAAAACTTGAGACATCTGTGGCACATATTAGATTGGTATTTTATTGTCCCCAGCACAAGGTACACCTGTGTAATGATCATGCTGTTTAATCACCTTCTTGATATGTCACACCTGTCAGGTGGATGGATTATCTTGGCAAAGGAGAAATTAGCTTTTTGTGCATATGGAACATTTCTGGGATTTTTTATTTCAGCTCATGACACATGGGACCAACACTTTACATGTGTTTATATTTGTTCAGTATATGTAAAACACAGGAAAATCAATTTAGACTGCACTGGGCCTTTGAAGGCACAGTGATCCTCCTGCAGGAGTCTGCTCTAAGGAAACAGAAATCACTGATGTGCTAAGGATTTGCAGCACTTGAGAATATTTTACACCTCAAGGCAACACCCACCCACTTGTGGAAACAAGTACACTTCTCTCTAGTAAAGTTTCACGCCTTGGGTGTTTCAGTCATTAGCAGGTAGAGGTTTGATTTCTAGGCTACATTCACAAAAGGGTTAAGGCAGCCGAGAGCGTACTAGAGAACTGAACCAACAAGGTCTTAGCTGGATCATGAGGTAAGAAGTAAATGAAACGAGATGTTTTTTGCTTAGCAGCTCAGCATACTACAATGAAAACCTAAGTACCAATCAATGCAGCCCCACTGTTTTGCTTTAAGTTTGTACTGACTTAGGAACCCGGCTGCTCCATTCATCTAACTTGTCTCTGTGAGGAAATTGGAGACAAGTCCAGGCCTCAGGGGAATCAGCCCTGGCTCTGCCTAGTGTGGAATAACAAATGAACTGAACCTGCAATTCATCAGCTCTAACAGGCCTAACTGAGGGACTGGGAGAGATCTGGGCCCAAACACATGGGAGAGTCAACACGGTAAAAGCTCAAGTCTCCTACCTTACAGTAACCATGGTGACACAGCATGTGAAAGGCAGATCTAGGTCCTCGAGACAAAAAGTAGCAACACTGAATGTTATGGCTGCTGTTCCTCAGTTGCTTTAACTCAACACAGTAAATCAGCCCTCCAACCCTCAACAATTGCTTCAGAGTGAGAGAGAGCGAAGGCACAGAAGTTGGATTTCCTGCCTTGGAAATATTTTCCTGGAAAACTGTTTAACTAATTTTTTGGTCTGACTGTATTTGGGGGGGTGAGAGTTAGCTAGCTTTTCACTGGGAACTTTCAAACAAAGTTCTCCAGTTTGCTGGTGTCTAGAGACTTTAGCGAGATAAGTCAAAGATATGCGGTAGGATAACAAAACATTGCTGTTTTTCCTCAAGATTTCAATAGCACCGCTTCACCCACATTAACTCTATGGTTCCCCTTCGATGCCCAGCCCAAATAGAGCCAGCACCTAAGACATGTGCTGCTTTCTCCACTGATAACGATTTTCACATGTGATGTGAATGTTGCTGTATATGATTATTACATAAACCGTGATAAGGAAGAATTACAATGAAAAATGTTGCCAACCTCAGCCACAAACGACCCTTGTCAATCAGGAAGACAGACGTTCAATAGAAATATGGGTTTTATTAGTTTAAAGTTTAAACTGCAATCTGTCATTTAAAAAATACATGAGAACAAAGAAATTACTGTAGTGAACAGCAACAGCTGCTATAAAGAATACATTCAACTGTTGCTTTTCATGTCATGTGTCAATCCTGTTAACTACAAGAACAAGTTTAGGCTTAAAATCTGCTCTGTATTATAAAACGTGATAAAGGCACAACACTTGGGGATACCTGGAATGTATTGATAGGCACTTATGGGAACGGGTGGTCCAACAACATCATCAACTAAAAGTGCTAGTAAATGTATGCATGGTATTGCGGAATAGGTGAGCGTCCATAACTAACTTATTAAAATAATAGTTTTCTATTTGTCGTTTGCAGCATAAATTCTGGTTATATAGGCTAAGAGTGACTTCTTAAATACTAAAATGTATATTTTTTCCTGGTCAAAGGACAGTGAAATAACAGGAAGAGGACTGTTCCCCGCTTAGTCTACATTCTAGAGGGCCTTCGAGAGCTGCTGCTGCCCACAACTGGATGAGGAATTAAGACATCAAAATAGAGAACCTGAAAACCGCAGTCCAATACCAGGGAAGAGAAAAAACAATAAATAAAAACGCAAAAATCCATTTGCATTTTTTGTATTTAAATTAAGATTCACTTTCAAAATAAATCAAAGTGTAGTTACAAAACGAAAAATGTCATTGCAGTATAATATATTAACTGTAAAAAAAAAAAGTCTTCACAATCTTACGATTAATACGGAAGATCATAATTTAACATAAAAGAAAATATATTCTATTGTTTCATTATCCAGATAAATACAAAATAAAAAAAATGCTTTAAGATCAGCAATAAATACATTTTGATAAGTTAAATAAGCAGTGACAAGCAAACCTTCATTTTGAAGGTTTTACAAAACAAACTAGACAATAATAATAATAATAATAATAATAATATAGTTGAACAGGGTGGAATCAATGGGAGAGCGTGTCGCTCATGTGATTTGACAGTGGCGACTGAGTTGTCATCTCAGTCAGCTATTGAGCTGGGTGGGGGTTAGGAGAGGGGGAGGGGGGGGGGGGGGGGACTGGGAGAAGGAATATAGGCCAAGCTCAAATATTTAATGACCAGAGTTTACACTGATGAACGGTCCTACTCCTTCCACATAACTAGAGAAACCAAACAAGACCAGTAGACATTTTATAAGGGTTCTTAGTAGCACCAAAATAAAAATTATAACAATTATTCCAGCCCTGATTCTAAACAAAAACCATCACCTGTGTGTTTGTCCAGTCCTCATAATAAAATTAAAAAAGAGGAACATATTTTTTTTTGCAATCATTAGACGTGGAAAAAGTAACAATTGTAGTCCCACACATTTCTTGGCACACATTGATCGGACAACACCAAGGCACTTCATTGGAACTGATAGTCCAATAATTTTTTGCTGCTTTAATTTGAAGAGAAAGATTACCCTTTTTAAATGGAGCACGGATTTGTCACAAGTCCTCTCGAGGCGTAAAAGTATGGGAGGTTTGAAGATAGCTGTGGCACAGGGAGCAATGGCAATGTGAAGATATGCAGCACTGCTACACACAAAACGACAGGGGAATCCTGCATGGGACACACTGAAACTTCCCACAGACATGTCCTTATCCATCCCCTCTGATTTCTACTGTTCACCGTTATTGTAGCACATCACCCAGGGCCAACTTGCTACTCACGATTCTTGAGTGACCACTTGGCTGAATGATTGTTTGGGTAAAACAAAAACACACCTCTGTTGGCTAATTGAAGTAATTTGAGATGAGGGAGGGGGGGGTTCAGTGAGTGGGGGATAGGGGAGCTGAGGTTCCTCTGCAGCTGAGGCAAGCCACTTTCTGAGCATTCTGATTGGACTCAGTGGCTACAACACTGCTAAACAGAACCATGTCCACTTCTGGGTTGTAAACAAGGCCAGGAGACGAGGGAGGGGGACAGGACCGTGGGGGAGGCAGGCACTCACTTTCACTCTCACTCCATCCATCCAAGGCACTGGGTGGGGGTGTAGGCTCTCTAATCATCAGAGATGGAGAGCCTGCTGAAGATGGGCAGGCGGCGTGAGGCGTCCAGGCTGGGGGAGTCGGAGCCACTCTGACTGCCCAGGCTGCTCTGGTAGCCCTCCTGGTCGGAGAGAGAGTCCGGGGGACTGGGGGGAGACTCCGACATGGGCCGGAAGAAGCAGGGGGGAGGGGGGGAGGGGGGCGCCGGAGCCAGCAGGTTGGGCTCCAAGACAGGGGGCCCCCCTACTAGGCTGGGGCCAAACAGATTGACCAACTCCTGGCTGGAGTAGGTGAAGGGGTTGCTGGGCCACTCGCTCAGGTCCTCTGTGGTGAAGATGGGCGGCGGGGTGACCGAGGTGGGGCTGTCCTGTAGACCGCCCTGGCTGGGGAAGCCGGCGAAGCTGAAGCTGTGCTGGAGGCGGGGGCGCTCCATCTTGTTGAAACTGGAGAAGGGTGGTGGCGGGCCGCGGCGCTCCTCGGCGTTGTGGATGAAGTGGCAGCGAGGGCCGTAGGGGCAGAAGCCAATGGTGTGGAATGTGCGGCACAGCTCCGTCTTATACTTGGGGTGGCGGCTCAGGCTACGCAGCTCGTGCATGCCGTGGGCAAACTGGCACTTGTCGCCGTACTTGCAGGTGCCGTTCTCCTCGAAGGGCCGGCACAGCTCCGTCTTGTAGCGGCTGGAGTTGACCTGCTGCTGCTGCTGGCCCTGGCTCTGCCCGCCGCCAAGGCACTGGAGCTGGCTGCCCGGCTTGAGGCGATCCCCGGTCTCGGAGAAGGAGCGGTCCCGGAAGCGGTTCTCCTTGTTGTTACTGCCACCACCACCACTCAGGAGCGAGGAGGGGTCTGCCTTGAGACTGTTGATGAACTGGTTCTGGTTGAATTTGGCGTTGGGGAGGGTGACCGAGTGGCGGCGCTGGAACAGCCCACTGCCCCCTGCAGAGGGGACCCCCACCACCTTCCTGTCCAGCAGGGAACCAGTGGGGGGGTTGTTGGCACCAGTGCAGACTGGGACAGACGTGGAGTGGGGCCCACCGAAAGTGTTGTTGTTGTAGTTAAACATCTTATTGTTCTGCAAAGAAAATAACACAGTCACGCTTAATAAAAGTGTCAATCAATGTCAATCAGTACTGAAAGGAAAATAAATACCCCTTCTCAATTCTCAAAAAAAGTTTGGAGCTAGTCGTGCATGGATTGAGGTTACAATTCAGACCCATTACAAAAGCAGATCCAGAATATTCATTTTACTTGCTAGTTCAACTGCACTATAGAAATAATGGTCTCCAAAGTCACAAGGTAAAGAAAATTGCGCAATCCGTTTACTCTAACTAGCTGTCAATCAAATAAAAAGCACTGCCAAACAATTATGGCCATAGCATGTGCACGTGACAGTAGGGACCTCAAATGTTCAGGCTGCTGCACCGATGCTATAGAGGCTCTAGTCTAAAGCGGCCAGATAAATTGTGTTTTAAAAAATGCTTTCACTCTCTAAATGGTTAAATGAGTGACAAAATATGTAATTGTTGCAAGAGTTTGAGTGGGAAACATATACTATCATCTTAAATTGACATGTTGAATTATTTTGCCATATTAAATTATTTTAGATTGTCCACATTAGGGGAAATTAGCACAGTTTGTTTTACTACCTTAAACAACCTTGCATTTTCACCCCATCAAATTTTGTGGAATTACACATCCTTTTTACCTCTGATTGGTAGGTTTGTGCAGTATACCGGGGTATTTGAAAATAGCCGCTGGATGGTTTTTGATATATATATATACACACTTTTTAAGTAAATACCTGCAGTCAACTTGTGCAATACATCAGGAGATAGAAGAATGCGTTCATTTCACCAGTCACAATTTTTCATTATAAAGCTTACCGGTAGTCCCCAGTCAGGTGGTGTTTGTTTACAAGCACAAAACAACAAGAGACTGGGGCTTTGTGAGTCACTCACTGTTGTGCAGCCAGGTGATCTAGGTGATCTAGTTACAGTATGGAATTCACAACTAAATGTTTACCAGCTATATATATATATATATATAAATAACTATTAAGTTAACTGTCTAAAATGTGCTAAATGCTCTGCATTTGGTTTGCTAATTTAGTAGCTAGTTAGCCATCTTGATAAGTGGTTAGCTTCTTCCAAAATCAATTTTCGCTTGGTAACAGCAGAGAATCCCCTCCTGGATCAAGAGCCTTGCTGTCTAATATTTGTTTTGTGCGTGCAGTAAACTGTGTAGCATTTTTGAGTTACTTGTATAACTTTGAGTTGGGATGTCTGTCCTGCAAATACTTTAGGTCAAAGAATATAAAATGTTTGCAATGCACTCGTTAGCATTATCTATGGGAATTTACATGTACTGGTTACGCATCGCTAACCTTCGAATTACAATAGCGCCCCTTGTGTTAATTGCCAGTATTACCAAATATCCTGGTATGGCACAAGGTCAGTATGAAGGTATGACAATCTGAATACCGCCCAAGCCTACAGATTGGTTGTGTTAGTATAAAAGTTTAGTCCTCATGACATAAGATCAATTGCTTAAAACAGATCGATATCTTTGGTTTTGTGACATGCTCTGGGGTGTGCAGGACTTAGAACGTGGAGTTACATTTTCTAACTCTGAAATGGCACAAAAAAAATCAGGAGGTCTCTAAAGGTCGCTGGCCACACACACACACACTAACACTGATTAGACAGTCAAACTATCACTTAAAAAGCAGCCAACCGTTGTCACAGTTGATATCCTATCCAGTTTAGTAATTCGTTGAAGTTAACAGAAAAAGTGGTTTGTTCCCTTTTCCATGATGGCAGCCTCCCGAAATCAACATCTGACATTCCAAAAGTTCTCATCTAACCAACCATGTATAGGTTATTCCAAGTTTCCGTGTGGCCTTTGAAGTGTTAGTTTAAAGAGGCTACACCCCAAACGTGTGACCCTGTTCTATTGATTTCAGCATAATATCGATGGAAGTGATTAACAACAAGTGATGTACACATTATTCCCAGATTACGAGTGGCTTTTTGAGCTGTGTTAGTTTTAACAGGACGTGAAACCTCATCTCCACCCTCTCGCGCAATTGATTTTAACATGATAATCGAGATGAGTATTGACAAAACAGTGTTGCGTTTCTTTTTAGGTAAGGTTTGTATCAAAATGCAACATTCCAAAATGTAGCTCACTGTTCTGCAGGTTGTCTCTAACCAGTGATGGAAAAATAGTTCGGGCTTTTGGTGCATGTGCAGTTTAAGGTGCTCGTTTAAAAAAATACAAATTATATTATTACTGTTGTTGCACATGTATGTGTAGATAAACATAAAATATACTATGTTTACTTTTTCTGCATATTGGTTATTGAGTTGGACACTTTAAAACTGTTTTGACATTGGGCTATTTATCAAAATGTCTCGTCAACAGGAAGCAGAGAGCATCATTTAAGTTAATATAAAATGAACTTTCAACATTAATTGTACTTAAATCAGGTAATAACTGCTGATGTGTGTCCAAAAACGTGCTGTGATTGATTTATTTTGATGATATACCAGAAATCAGCAAAACTGGTATGTTCTGCCTAGTGATAAGCACCAATGCCTGTTACATAGATAGCTAAGAGAAGACAATCGAGTATAACGATAACCAGTAAACATCGTGTAATCTACTTCAAAAGTCATAGCTTTATAGATAAACACAGTATTCAAATGCTGACATGTAACCTTTGCAGCCAATGTTTTCAAAACTTAGGCACAACTGTTTACAATTCGTATTGTGTGGGAGACAGCACAGCTTGCACACACAACGCGTAAATGGTTGCAAGAAAACTAGTAACAGCTAGGGTTGAATCCGCCTGTTCCTCCTTCTCAACCAAATAGCTGGCATGCCATGCGATGTGAACCCATAGTTAGATGGCTACGTGCTGCATTTTCAAATAATCATTTTTGCGATCACTTTGCTAGCTACTAAATAATAATAAACTAACATTTAAAATAGATTATAAATTCACGACGCTAACTACTCGAAGCTAGACCCAGACCAGAAAAAAAAACAACAACGTGACAGAAGCAGTACGTTGCCTGGTCAACTAGCTAATTATTACAAAGTACTGAATTGTTAACGGACAGTAAACACATTATTCTTTGTCATCAGTTTGTCACCTACAATCCAAAACGTGCATATAGTACTCGCTGACGTTTGCTGAACAATCCCGAAAAAATTCATGAACTATGCTAAACTAACCAAGTTAACTAGCTAGAAATTAGCTAGCCCTCGGCTCGAAGCAAGCAATAAACATTCATTACCTTGTTAATTTCGTAGTAGTCGAAGAAAGGAGAAACGATACTTGCTGTCATTTTTGTTGAGTGGATATTGTAAAGAAAATATAAAATAAGCTATCTAAAGCACAGGGCTGGTGGTAAATCCAGGTTGAAGTGTTATTACTGCCCTGCAGGGAGCCCCCTCTGTCCTGCAACAGTTGTGCGCAGTTCCTTTTTAAAAGGCGGTATGCATGGTTATTTCTGCTGGGAGGGGCCTGAGTTTGATTGACATAAGTAACTGTCTCGCCCTCACCACTTACTTCTTGCTTTTCAGAGCAGCCCTTTTTCAAACTTTTTTGGGCCAGGGACCAGCAAGGCATGGCTTATTCCTCTGGGGACCGCTTTGGTAAAACATTATTGAAACTCGCTTTTTCTTTATAAAAACACACATTTTATTTCATTTATTTTTACTTTACACTAAATTAATGAATTTTGTATTTACTCGGCTTCCTTCTTTGTTGGTCTGTCTATCTGTTTGCCTGCCTGTCTGTCTGTCTGTCTGTCTGTCTGTGTTGTACTCATGGGCAGTGTCTCTCTCTGTGCTTTCTTCATGGGCTGTCTTCAGGGGCTGTCTGTTTGTCTGTCTGTATGGGCTGTGTTCTGGGGCTGTCTGTCTATAAATAAAAAACAATACAAATATAATTTAGTCATTATACACAATCACATTACCTGTGCTGTCAATAAAAACAATGTAACAACTGAATCTTTATAAACAAATACATCTTTCATTCTATCGATATATACATTATTTAGAAAATGGAATAGTACAAGATGTTTGACTCACCTAATCATTGAGATGAGTGTGCCTGTCTCTTGGACACCAACCGTTCAAACGACGGAGGGAAGGAGGAGAGGGACACTCAAGGTGTTTTTAACAGCCAGTCTGCTGCGATATTTGGATTTTTTTGCAGCAAGAGAGGAGAAGCTGGTCTCACATAAGTAGGTAGAATAAAAAGGGATTAACGTCTTCACTGCCATCTCGCTGAGTTGCGGGTACACTAAAAAAATTAGGGGTTCAACAAGGGTTATTCTAAGAGCCTCAAAGTTCTTCAAAGAACCTTATGGTTCTTGGCACTGGAAATTGCCCCCAAAAGGTTCTTCCAAGAACCCCATAGGAGGTGGGGTTCATCGAGGAACCTCCTTATGTAGGCTATAAGAATATGTTGAAGGCAGATGACTGAACTGCTCACTTTTGTGTCTGTGTCTGCAGGTATGCAGAGGTGGAGGCATACAAAGGTATGTCAATAGGTATTGGTATGTTATTATGCAGATCACATTTACCATCCTCCTCCCTTACCTCTTCAATGAAAATCCCAGAGGCCTCTACATTATGGACAAGGTATTTGTATAAAAAACATTGTCAAAAGTGAAGTTTTTTTTCATTCACATTTACCACAAAAACCAAGGTATGAATACTGCCATGAGCATGGTTTTTAAAAAGATCTGTATAATTACTTTTTTTGGATTCACACACTTCACCCTCCCTACATCTCTGATGAATATAACAGGAAACCTGTTCGATCACCATGCACTGCAAAATCATTCTGGATATGGATACAGAGATCAACACATTAGTATCAACACGACAGAGGATATACCCATTGGACTTGGGGCTCGGCTGGGAGTTTACCTCATCTTTGGATTTTTATATTCTGGTTTGACACTAAAATCATAATAAACACTGACAACTGAAATATTGTGTTATTGTTGTGTGTATTATTATTAATAATAGGGGAGGGGGGAGTTCAGAAATGTACCCAAAAAGGTTATTCGAAAGGTTCTTTGAAGATCCATTAAAAGGGGTTCTTTGAAGAACCATTTTAAAGGGATCTTCGAAGAACTTAGAGGTTCCCCCAAATTCCCTAAATTTGAAGAAACCCTAAAGGATACTCCAGGAACCTTTTCTTTTAGAGTGTACATTATGGACAAGGTGCCTTGCAAAAGTATTCATCCCCCTTGGCGTTTTTCCTATTTTGTTGCATAACAACCTGTAATTTAAATGGATTTTTATTTGGATTTCATCTAAAGTACATACACAAAATAGTCCAAATTGGTGAAGTGAAATGAAAAAAATTACTTGTTTCAAAAAATTCAAAAAAATAAATAACTGAAAAGTGGTGCATGCATGTGTATTCACCCCCTTTGCTATGAAGCCCCTAAATAAGATCTGATGCAACCAATTACCTTCAGAAGTCACATAATTAGTTAAATATAGTCCACCTGTGTGCAATCTAAGTGTCACATGATTTCAGTATATGTACAGTCGTGGTCAAAAGTTTTGAGAATGACACAAATACTAATTTTCACAAAGTCTGCTGCCTCAGTTTTGATGATGGCAATTTGAATTGCAATTAATTGCAAAGTTCCTCTTTGCTATGAAAATGAACTTAATCCCAAAAAAACATTTCCACTGCATTTCAGCCCTGCCACAAAAGGACCAGCTGCCATCATGTCAGTGATTCTCTCGTTAACACAGGTGAGAGTGTTGACGAGGACAAGGCTGGAGATCACTCTGTCATGCTGATTGAGTTAGAATAACAGACAGGAAGCTTTAAAAGGAGGGTTGTGCTTGAAATCATTGTTCCTCCTCTGTTAACCATGGTTACCTGCAAGGAAACACGTGCCGTCATCATTGCTTTGCACAAAAAGGGCTTCACAGGCAAGGATATTGCTGCTAGTAAGATTACACCTAAATCAACCATTTATCGGATCATCAAGAACTTCAAGGCGAGAGGTTCAATTGTTGTGAAGAAGGCATCAGGGCGCCCAAGAAAGTCCAGCAAGCGCCAGGACCGTCTCCTAAAGTTGATTCAGCTGCAGGATCGGGGCACCACCAGTGCAGAACTTGCTCAGAAATGGCAGCAGGCAGGTGTGAGTGCATCTGCACGCACAGTGAGGCGAATACTTTTGGAGGATGGCCTGGTGTCAAGAAGGGCATCAAAGAAGCCACTTCTCTCTAGGAAAAACATCAGGGACAGACTGATATTCTGCAAAAGGTACAGGGATTGGACTGCTGAGGACTGGGGTAAAGTCATTTTCTCTGATGAATCCCCTTTCCAATTGTTTGGGGCATCCGGAAAACACCTTGTCCAGAGAAGACAAGGTGAGCGCTACCATCAGTCCTGTGTCATGCCAACAGTAAAGCATCCTGAGACCATTCATGTGTGGGGTTGCTTCTCAGCCAAGGGAGTGGGCTCACTCACAATTTTGCCTAAGAACACAGCCATGAATAAAGAATGGTACCAACACATCCTCCGAGAGCAACTTCTCCCAACCATCCAAGAACAGTGTGGTGATGACCAATGCCTTTTCCAGCATGATGGAGCACCTTGCCATAAGGCAAAAGTGATAACTAAGTGGCTCGGGAACAAATCATCAACATTTTGGGTCCATGGTCAGGAAACTCCCCAGACCTTAATCCCTTTGAGAACTTGTGGTCGATCCTCAAGAGGCGGGTCGTCAAACAAAAACCCACAAATTCTGACAAACTCCAAGCATTGATTATACAAGAATGGGCTGCCATCAGTCAGGATGTGGCCCAGAAGTTAATTGACAGCATGCCAGGGCGGATTGCAGAGGTCTTGAAAAAGAAGGGTCAACACTGAAAATATTGACTCTTTGCATAAACTTAATGTAATTGTCAATAAAAGCCTTTGACACTTATGGAATGCTTGTAATTATACTTCAGTATACCATAGTAACATCTGACAAAAATATCTCATAACACTGAAGCAGCGAACTTTGTGAAGACCAATACTTGTGTAATTCTCAAAACTTTTGACCACGACTGTACACCTGTTCTGAAAGGCCCCAGAGTCTGCAACACCACTAAGCAAGGGGCACCACCAAGCAAGCGGCACCATGAAGACCAAGGAGCTCTCCAAACAGGTCAGGGACAAAGTTGTGGAGAAGTACAGATCAGGGTTGGGTTATAAAAAAATATCTGAAAATTTGAACATCCCACGGAGCACCATTAAATCCATTATTTTAAAAAAATTGAAAGAATATGGCACCACAACAAACCTGCCAAGAGAGGGCCGCCCACCAAAACTCACGGACCAGGCAAGGAGGACATTAATCAAAGAGGCAACAAAGAGACCAAAGATAACCCTGAAGGAGCTGCAAAGCACCACAGCGGAGATTGGAGTATCTGTCCATAGGACCACTTTAAGCCGTACACTCCACAGAGCTGGGCTTTACAGAAGAGTGGCCAGAATAAAGTCATTGCTTAAAGAAAAGAATAAGCAAACACGTTTGGTGTTCGCCAAAAGGCATGTGGGAGACTCCCCAAACATGTGGAAGAAGGTACTCTGGTCAGATGAGACTAAAATTGAGCTTTTTGGCCATCAAGGAAAACGCTATGTCTGGCGCAAACCCAACACCTCTCATCACCTGGAGAACACCATCCCCTCAGTGAAGCATGGTGGTGGCAGCATCATGCTGTGGGGATGTTTTTCATCGGCAGTGACTGGAAAACTGGTCAGAATTGAAGGATAGATGGATGGCGCTAAATACAGGGAAATTCTTGAGGGAAACCTGTTTCAGTCTTCCAGAGATTTGAGACTGGGACGGAGGTTCACCTTCCAGTAGGACAATGACCCTAAGCATACTGCTAAAGCAACACTTGAGTGGTTTAAGGGGAAACATTTAAATGTCTTGGAATGGCCTAGTCAAATCCCAGACCTCAATCCCATTGAGAATCTGTGGTATGACTTAAAGAGTGCTGTACACCAGCGGAACCTATCCAACTTGAAGGAGCTGGAGCAGTTTTTCCTTAAAGAATGGGCAAAAATCCCAGTGGCTAGATGTGCCAAGCATATAGAGACATACCACAAGAGACTTGCAGCTGTCGTGTGCATGTTTTGTTAATCATCTGTATAATTACTATTTTTTGGATTCGCAGACTTCACCCTCCCTACAGCTCTGATTTACATCATTTAGCAGACGCTCTTATCCAGAGCGACTTACAGTTAGTGCATACATTATTATTTTTATACTGGCCCCCCGTGGAAATCGAACCCACAACCCTGGCGTTGCAAACACCATGCTCTACCAACTGAGCTACCTCCCTGCCGGCCATTCCCTCCCCTACCCTGGGCCAATTGTGCGCCGCCCCATTGGTCTCCCGGTTGCGGCCGGCTACAGCAGAGCCTGGATACGAAC